CGGCCGCAGCCGTTGCTGCGTGGGAGCCGCGTCGCGGTTTCTCTCCCCGCGGGAGAGAGAGTTTGCCCGGCGCGGGAGCTCCGGGAGGCCACGGCCCGCCCCGAGAGGGGGTTATTGCAGCCGGGGGTGCGCAGGCAGGACGGGACGATCCTTTCTGTGGAGTTAAGGTCAGCGGGTCTGGCGGGCTCCAGCAGCAGTCATCGCCGCCCCGGCCTCTACGGAGAATTCAAATTTATAGGTACGAGATTTTTTTTGTCCCTCCCACTTGCTGCAGGAAGGCGAACGGTACATGTATTTACGTGTTCTGATGGCGAAACATCCCCGTTTTAAAATAGCTGCATCTATATTTCCAGTTCTTAATTGTGGCATGCGTGAACGGATGCATATGTGGGCAAGGCTGGATGGGGAATCTGTCTGTCGTCTAGCGCTTTAAGTGCTGGAGCCATTAACAGCAGTTGCATCAATATATGAATACTTATACGCCTGCCTAGGCCACAGATGCACTCACTGCGGTGGTAATAGTAAACATATAAACTGCATATAGAAGAAGTTTAAAAAACACTATTATACATACTTTTAGCTTTAAGAAAAAGGAAATAGGGAAATACCTTTTTCCTAAGTCTACAGATGATCTCTGGAGCTGCAACTGCATCCTTGTACGTCTGTTGTCACTCTAGAGCAAAAGCAATGAGAGGACAAAGATCGGTACGAGGTTTCTAACCTCTGGTGTGAGCCAGAGCAGTTGGGAACAACTGCTGGTGTGAACGGGGATGGATTTGCAAATATTAACAATATTAATGTATTATCCGTGGGGGCGGGGGATGGACACAAAGGAAAGACCCCTGACTATAGCACAGCCTTTTGAGAACCTTCTACCGCATTTACAAGTAAGCTGGAAAGGACTGTAGAAAATTAGTTATAAAATAGGTTGTAATGGCTTTCTTAGTTTAGGCTGTCTGTGCAGAACCAGTTGAATTTCAGCTTAAATGTTCAGTATCAGTAAGCTATATTGACAAGAAGGTTGAGAGCCCTAAAATAAAACATACTCTATTTATTTTAAAATCGCATTAGCCTTAAAGCGAGTGATTAATTTCCATGTTGTGGTTCTGGAAAAAACGAGTAGAATTTTTATATATTCTGTGTAGTTAATGCCAAGCCTCTGTTGAACACATGCTATTCTTGTAGGTGTGTTAGCTCATTTTAGCTGTTGTATCTGAGAAAACAAAATATTAGAGCTTGTTTTGCTGCTCTTGTTTGATTTTGGAAATTTTTTTTGGGTCTTAATGATGTGAACTTATGGTACAAAGATACCCAACATTTTTATTCTGTGTTAAATTGCAATGAATACTTTATTGATGATGATTCCTTTGTTTTACGGTGCGAATTACATTTAACAAAGTATTAAAACTTTTATAACTTGTTAAATCAGAAGTATGCTTATTAACATTTGTTTGGCTTGCCAAAGAATTATATCTAGGAAAGTTGGACTACAGTAGTATGTATATTCATTGGTCAAAAGTTACTTTGAAAATAGTGCATCAAGATATCATAGTTTAAAAAATGTGAAGATGGAATCAATTGTCTCTGACAAATACTTTGTTCTTCTCTGATATATTTCAGATGTACCATTATGCTCTTGAAGTTCAACATCTTTTTAAACTTCCTATTTTGGAAATGATGGGGTTAGAATGAGAACAGCAAATTGAGCGACTGGAATATCGTGATGTTGGTTAGGTTTAGTGTAGTCACTGTACTGCTGCTGTGTGCTGCAGGCTCTGTTACCTCTAACATCACAAATTCCAGAGAGGTTTTTCCAGTGTGACTGATTAAATCAAGAAAGATTTTTGAGTATGACAAAAGAGAGAGATGAGTGGAGTTTTCCCTGTTCGAAACTGATTTCTAAATGATCAGCTTCTACCAGTTCTAGATAGATGTTTAACCTTCTGTACACATTGCTTAGTGTGTGAAGTTGCACTATATGGTATATTAATATACTACTGTGTTTTCTGTGTTAGCGAAGACTTGTTTATTTAGTGGGAATGAATTGATATTCTACAACAGGAGATTGACAGTTTCTGTGTATTCCTGTGTGTTGTGTTGTCTCTTTCTCCTGCTCTGGGAAGGCACTACACAAAGCCTTTGTGTTTGGCTAGAAGGGAGGAGAAACAGCTGCCTTTTCAGTACAAGACACCAGGATTTGTAGTGGTCTCACAGGGATGCGTTGTTGTACATGGACCAGCCACTGTCCTTCCTCTCTCATTCTAATCGTTAAAGCACTTTCTCCTCACGGCAGAGAAACCTGAGCTTCGTTTGACTGATCTCGCAGAGCAGTGTGTTGCGCCATGGATCTAGCAGATCAGTCTGATGGCCCATTGTTAAAGTATAGATGGGCAAGAATTAAAACATGCAAAATTGACTAAATGCAAGGTGTACATTAAGAAATCCAAGAGCTACAGATCATGTTGTGTTTAAAAATTACTTAGTATCAACTTGATTTCTTGTCCATGATTGGGATGAAAGAAACTTGTTCAAATGGTTAATCTTTTATTTGTTTTGTTTAACAGTTTAGTATCTAGGTTACTTAAATGGGAATTAAACATGTTAACTTTAAGAAGAGGAAATAAAAATTATTTCAGTTGGATGAGAGAGTACAACTAAATGGAGCAGTTTCATTTTTCTGCTTTCCATGCACTAATAGAGTGCTTGAATGGTTGTACTGTATTCTGTGTCACAAAGAGGTGGAATAAAAGTTAACTTCCCTCTCTTTGTTGTGAACATTGAATACTATATAACGTGACTTTTAGTAACTGTATCTTGCATGTTCTTTCAAAATTACTTCTTTGAAAACATCATCCAGTCTTTTACTTACCCTTTACAACTTTATTATATTTGTTAAAATTTTAGAGTTGGATTCTTTCTCCCGCCCCCCCCACCCCCCATTTTTTTTAATTTGTAGTCTGTTTTTTTCTGTATTAGCTTATAGGTCACTAATCTTGAAACCTAAGTAGTGGAAAATTCAAACAATAAAATCTGACCTTTTGACGCTTTACCTCTTGATCTGGTTGAGTATCTTTTTCCCATTTTTGAGACATGGTGCAAGTCATAACTTTCAACAGCTCGTTCTTCAAACTTGTTTTTCAATTAATGGAAACAAATCTTTGAAAACCTTGAGGAATTTTTGGGGGAGAAGGGAAGGATTAAATTTGAGAGGAGGGCAAACTGGGAAACTGAAGAAGTCTTTAACGTTTTTAACAAAACTGTATCGTGTTAAGAATTAAAAAACGTGTTCATTGTTATGTTCAGGCATGTTTTTCTGTGGTTCTTGTACTGCACAGTTGAAAACAATTCTGTGATGAAAAGCATAGCTCAAATGCTATTTCACGCTGTTGCTTTGTCTCTGAAGAGATTAATCAATTATTGAGAATTAGGTTATTTGCACTGATGAGGAACTCCATCCGGTAATTCTTCCTTTCAGAGAAATGTGGTGTATGTTGCTTAGCCTTGCATTGTGGGCAGGAGGAGCTTCTGAGTAGCTGGAAGAGTTGAAGGCTGGCTGGGTTTTCA